TGAGGGCTATCTTGCCTATTTTGTCCATACCTGTATCCCTAATACTTAGGATCTTGCCTGGTATATACTAGATAGTAAATAAATATTTGATGAAACTATGAAATAAAACTGAGATAAAAACTAAGGAAATTAGTTGAAGTTAAAAAATACACCCACCTTAAATGGATAATGAATAATTTTTCAAAGTGTGAAGGAGAATAGAGAGTGAAAAGATGAGGATTAAGTTACTGATACAGAGGAAAGCTTTAAGATAATCACAGAGAGTACTGAGGGAAAAGACAAAGATATTAAAGCTATTAGAAGACAATATATGTGGGGAAGATGGCTTAATGTAAGATTAATAAGTACTCCTGAAATAGAGAATACAGCAAATAGAAAAAAATGTCCTTACTTATATAAAACTAATGAAAAATATCTACTGCTTAAAAGGATACACCATATTCCAATGAAAAATTTCTATGGAACAACCAACAGCAGGTAATAGATCCTGTTTAAATTACTCAGTTTGCAGTATAAAGAATTGCTTACATCTCTGGCAAGAGACAAGGGAGTGGGATGGAGAAAAAACAATTAGGCTATATTAGATTTATCTATAAAACATTCAGTACTGGAAGACATTAAAAATGGTGCAAAGTGCTGAAAAAATGTATTCCAAGAAAATTATTCTGTAGCTTTCCAAGTTGTTATTTAATTACAATTTGAATTTATGGACATTCTCCATTTTTTTATTCTTGCTTGCACACGGTTATTTCTTGCTTGTGCACTGCTCATCTCTTTCTTGTATAGCTTTACAATCAATCAGTAGTGATAACATGTTATTAACATTCTGTTTTCCCACATCTTTCTCTAGCATTGAAGTATATTAGATAAATCAGCTGGCTTCTAGGTCACCACAGTTCCCAAAGCTTTTATTTACAATGGTTGTAACTAAATTATGTAGATCACTGTCCTTTTAACTTTCAGCAACAGTATCCTTGTCAACTATTGCTTGACCTTTAAGGCAGTGACTTATATTTTAGATTTTCTTATGCAGAATTTAAGTCTGGACCTAAGTCTATAGAAATTAGGCTAAAGGTTGTTATACTGTGGTACAAATTTAAGATCTTGGTGGTGTAAAACACAAATGTTGATTTTTTTTCACATAATATTTGTTCATTGAGCACACTGGCACTCTGGATACCATTAATTGGTCCATTTCTGGTTTATTTTATTTCATTATTTATTTATTGTGTTAGCTACTTTTCTCATTGCTGAGACAAAATACCTGACACCCAAACTTAAGGGAGGAAAGGTTTATTGTAGCTCACAGTTTGTAGAAGTTTTAGTTCATGTCAAGACAGAGTGGCATGGCAGAGGGGTATCTCAGGAGAAATAGTTCATGGTGGGCAGAAGGCAGTAAAGCAGAAGGCAGCAAGCAGTGAAATATCAAAGCAGAAAGCAACAAGCAGCAACGTCTTCTGTCTCTTATAGCCTATCCAGGCTACCTACCTTTAGGGTGAGTAGCACTCTCACCCAGGTTGGGGCATCCTGAATCCTAGCATCGCACACAAATCAACCCAGCATCACATCCTTGATCCCAGCATCACTCATCCTAGATCCAGCCACCTCTGAAAAGCCTCACCTATTACCAAATGAGGCTTTGAGGGGACACCAACATACAAACCATAACACTTATTTTGAATTAAATTCATAGTATACAATTGATATTCTTATCTATATTTAGATTGTGGCATGATGAAGCAAATTAACATTCATTTCCTTATATCGTTTTTGTGGTGAAAAGATGTAACTGTTAGCAATTATGAAATTTATAATACATTATAATCATCATGGTCTGTGATAGACCTTTATAATTGATTCCCTTTATTTACTAAAAGTTCGTACCCTTTGAAAATCTCTAGTCTCAATCTCCATTTACCCCAAACTCCCCTTCATTCTAGTGATCACCATTTTACCACCTGTATGAGTTTGAATATTTTAGACTCCACATATATATGAGATGATACAGTAGTTGTCTTTTTGTACCTTGTTTACTTCACTCATTTCAGTGTACTTTAGGCGCATCCATATTTTTGCAAATGACAGAATCTTTTGCTTCTTCCTTTTTGTGTTTTCTTTTGCAGTGCTGGGGATTAAACCTAAGGCCTTTCACATGTTAGACCAGTGTTCCACCATGAAACCACATCCCCAGCCGAGGTTTTCTTAAGACTGAAAAATAGGCTTTCTTAAGACTGAAAAATAGTTCATTGTACATGTATACCACATTTTGTTTACCTGTTCATCTATTGGTAGATATGTAGGTTATTTCTATAACTTAACTATTTCAACATACTTATTTTAATTCATTTGCATATCCAGTAGTTCCTCCTTATCTGTGTGGCATGTATTTGAAGACCCAGGAGATACTTGAAACTATAGGTAGTGCCAGACTCTATTAATACTGTATTTTTTTCCACGTATAAACTTCTACAATAACATTTTATTTGTAGGTTAAGCATAAAAGCAATAACCAATAAAATAGAACAGTTAAAATAGTGTAATAAAATTGCCATATAATTTCTCATGTACTTTGAGACCATTATTAAGTAAAATAAGAGTTACTTGAACACAAGTAGTGTTCAAGTGGTACCACAATGGTTGATCTGATAACTTACAGCTACTGAGTAACTAATGAGTTGGTAACATATACAGTGTGGATATGCTGCGGAAAGGGATGACTTGTGGCTTGGGTGTGATGGAGCAGGACAGTGCAAAGTTTCATTATACTACTCAAAACATTGTACGGTTTAAAACTTGTCCATTGTCTACTTCTTGAATTTTCCATTTAATATTTTTGAATTGGACTTGATTATGGATATTTGAAACCATGAAAAATAAAACCACAGATAAAGGGGAGACTACTGTGTAAACAGACATGGGACCAGTGATTCTATGCTTAATTTTGAGGAACTGCCATACTGTTAACCACAATGGTTTTATATCCCCACCAACAGTGTACAAGGGTTCCCTTTTCTG